GCTTTTTAAAAAAAACTTTTTTTTAATTTATCAAAAGGCCTGCTTTAGTGACATGCTAGTCCCACCAGAAATTTACCCCAATACCCTTTGTCAGTAACATGCTAAAGTTGACCAGCCAACTCGTATTTCCAAACCTGCGTGTACAAGTACATGTGTGTCTTTGAAACCAAGTCCCGGGGCTCAGGTGTCTGCTTCTGCTATCACGGGCTTTCCACCTGCTAATTTTGACCAGTGTCCACTCCTCCAGAAGGGTGGGCAGGGCACAGAGACACCCTGGGGTGGTAGTGAGGGAGTAACAGCCCTGAACTGCCAATATTCAATGGCTGAGGGCTTTTTTTTTAAAATAGAAGTGCAGGCAGTTGGACCTAAGGTTGTTGTAAGCATTCAAAAGTCGACATCCTTGTCCTAAAGCCAACCAGAGGGAAGGGAGCTGAGGAGAGCTGTGGGGAGAGGGCGGCAATCCCAGGGACAGCACAATCTCGGCTTGGAAACTGGTTCTACTGTCTGTTAGCAGTATTACCTCGGGCAGCTTAACTTCTTTGGGTCCGTCTCCTCACCTGCAAAACAGGCATAGTACCTGCCTCGACAGGACCGCTGGGAGGATTAAATGAGATAAAATCGGCAAAGCAGTTACGGTGTGTGCCTTGTACTAAATGTCCCACATGTAAAAGCTGTTAGTGTGAACCTCGTTTTACCAAGGGAGTGAGTGGCTATGTGGTACCTGTACTCTGTACCCCTTCTCCCTCAGCTCTCTTCCTTACTCCCCCTTCCCACACCCTCATCCCCTTTCCCCAGGAAAGAGGGGAATGGTGAGAAAGGAGACCATCAGCCAGGAAATGAGAATTGCAGATGCTGCCTTGGTTGCTGCTTGGGCTGAAAGGTACAGCCACAGGCAGACGTGGAGGTGCTGAGGCCTCCGAGAGCTATGAAGAAAGGGGAAGAGATCAAGCTGTCCTGCGTTTCTTTCAGGTCCTGTTGGTGAATCTCTGTGAAGGAACCTTCTTAATGTCAGTAAGTGTCTGGGTTCAGACCCCCGTCAGCCCCCCCACCAGCTCAACTGCTCTAGTCTCACTGATGCTCCACTCACTTCAACCAACTTTAAGTACTTTTGTTGAGTGAGAACTCACGCTAACAAGACCTCTCCGCTCTCAAGGAGCCCACGACAAAGACGCACGTGACTTCACCAGGCGATTGGTGTTAGTGCCTTTAGAGCAAGGATATAAACCAAGTACTACAGGGATGGAGAGACTTGCTAATGTTTAGAGTTAGACTGACAATCAAGAAACAGCTTCTGTTTGTTTCTCTATGTGGCCGATTGTTTGGGGGTGAAGTTGGGGGCAAATTTCATGCCCTCCTCACACTCTCTGCCAACGCCTCCCTCCACACCTCCTTCCTGACTGCTTGACCTCTGAGCTCTGTCCTTTCCTAGGTTGGTGACGAAAAAGACATCCTACCACCCAAGCTCCAGGATGACCTGTTAGACTCTCTGGGTCAGAAGATCAAGGAGTTACAGAGTAAGTCCTACCCTTTCTGCAAAGAGCTTGAGGGCATGATTCCCAACAATTCCCTTCCAGAACTCAAATGAATTCACTCAGCAGCCCTGGGCTAGTCCCAGAGGCCTGGATTCTAGGGCAAGTGTGAGTATGAGGTTTTAGTCTTCCTAAGCAATGGTGGAGAACCCAGACCCAGTCTCCCATTTTAATCAGTCATCAGTAATTATGAACCCTACTGCATCCCTTCCCCAAGAACTTTCAGCCTGCAACGAAAGCCACTTGGAGATAGAAGTGGGTGGTTTCAGCCATCTGTTACCCTCTGAGATGATCTCTCTCTGTCCTCTGCAGCTCCAGAACAAATCAACGAGCACGTTTCAGGCCCTTTTGTGCAGTTCTTCGTCAAGACTGTGGGCCACTATGCCTCCTACATCAAGCGGGAGGCAAACGGGCAAGGCCACTTCCAAGAACGGGCCTTCTATAAGGCTCTGACCTCCAAGGCCAACCGCCGATTTGTGAAGAAGTTTGTGAAGACACAGCTCTTCTCCCTTTTCATCCAGGAAGCTGAGAAGAGCAAGCAACCTCCTGCAGGTATACAGGGACAGCCCCCTATCAATCTAAGCCCAGAGGGTCACTGCCTCCAAGTCAGGTGTGGCCCTAGGATGACGAGGAGGGAGGAGAGGGCACTCCTCTGTAGAAACCCACAACACAGCTGTCATCTTTTCAAGTCGGATTGGAAAGAGAGACCCTGAAGCCTAAGGAAAATGCCTTCTGGGCTGACATTTTGCAGAGGTTGCTCTATTCATCAGCCAGCAGGAGGCCCTGTGCTCTTTGTTTTAGTCTGGAGTTAATTCCTATTAGTTATTCTTTGCTTTAGGCCTCTGTGGGCCAAAGTGAATACCCGGGTCTCCAGAGGCCTGTGAAGGCATGGGAATCCTGGCAGGAATGTGGGGGCGGGGGAGCACAGGCAGCAGACAGAGAGGATATTTCGGACCCTCGCTCCTGAGCTCATCTTGGTCTGCCTGGCTGGATTAGATGCCTCTAACACCTGTATGTGAACCCACAGGCTATTTCCAACAGAAAATACTTGAATATGAGGAACAGAAGAAACAGAAGAAATCAAAGGAAAAGACTGTGAAATAAGAGCTGTAGTGAACAGGCGTGACTAGACCGACAAGCCAGTTTTGGACTTTGGCCCCTGCCAGCACGGCAGGATCAGCGAAGCCCTCAGTCCCCAGAATCCACAGCCTTCTTCCGAGTCCTGGTAACAAGGTCTTGCTTCAAGTTGGTGTCTTGAATTTGGGATCTCTGGAATCAGCTATCTCAGGACTTTGGAAGGCTCTGACTTCTGTGCTCATGGAGCTGGGCACAAAGCTGCCTTTTCTGCAGAGGTGACACAGGGCAGCAGACAGTTGTACCGAGTGTTGTAGAATCTTCGATGTTGCTGTCACTGCCCCCTCCCACTATTACAAAATCCTCAAAAGAGGGACCAGTTATGGCCCAAAGGCCACATAGAAAAAGAGGTCTGTGGACATGTGAGGATAAGAATAAAGATGACAACCTTCTTGTCCTTTATATGTGTATCTCTGGCTTCCACTCTGGAGAGAGAACCAGCAAAACAAGGATAGATGTGAGACTAAACTGGACTAGACGTGGAGGACCTGGTAATAGTGCCCAGAACTCAGGCTGTGTTCGGAGCGGCAGAATTACACAGGGGTCAGCAGAGTCTCTAACAGGAAGGGTGAGGGAACCTGGTAAAAGCAGCAACAGCACCAGGGGCAGGGCGGCAGTTCTTGGTTCTCCTTAGGTTGGGCTTTCCAGAGTCCTGGGAGGAAAGGCTGCTGCCAGAGTGAAGCATTTGTAGTCCAGGCTGGCTTGAGGGTAGGCATTTCAGTTGACAGAAGCCAGTGAAGAACACTGCACTGCTTCCAAAAATTGGTCTGTCTGCCCGTCACTTCCGGTTTGGAACTTTCTGTTTAGACACCCTCCTTCCTACTTTGTCGAGAAGCCCAGGTCAACTCTTTAGCTCAAGGCAGAGGGATCCTCACATTGATACTTTTTCCCCTTTGGGAAAAGAGAATCATAGTCTTAAAAATCCAAAGGGGTTTAGTAGTCGGTCCATCTTTATTCCTCTACTGACGGCTTCTGTTCAAACACTCTAAGGGATCGGAAATTTTTAGAAGCATCGTGTCTTTCAAAAATTCCATCAATTAATGTGTGTATGTGAGTGTGGTCCTCAGGGGCCCCTGAATTCTGTACAAAGAATACAGATGTTGTTGGAGGGTGGGATGGGGGCTGGGGTTGCCAAATTTAAGCGCAACCCAACATAATTTTATTTTAGGGGCAGAGAGACCCACTGCAGGTGGCAGATGCTCCGCTGTGCACATACCACCCCAGCTATGCTGTTACTCTGCACAGCTTCTAAGAGTTAATGCATGTCTTTAGGTAATTTACGGCAGTAGTTCCTAAGCCTAGTTGTACCTCAGAAAGTTTTAGAACAAGGACTGGAATCCTGGAGAGCTTATGAAAAATAGGAGGCCCCGTCTCAAACCTACCAAATCATCTCTAGAGATAGGACCTGGGAACCTGTATTTTTTTAAACTTCTTCAGGAGATTTTGGTACCTAACCAGGTATATGATCACAAGAAGAAGCAAGGCCAGCTGAGGTTCACATACCCTCGATCTGATGCTGATAGTAATCTAGAGCTGAAGGACGCACACACCAAATACCTGAATGTATTCCAGATTTCCTTTAGGCTGAAAAAGATCCTAGCATCTGTTTGTAGCTGTATCCCACTAAAACCTACTATGGTGTAGGAGAGAGCCCTGGACCAGGATTCAGAAGATGTGGATTCTAGTTCCCATTCGGAAAAGTAGCAACTGTTGTGACACTGGTATGCTGTTTAGCCTCCCACACCTCAATGTCTCCTGTAGGTAATTAACATCTGCTACATCTGACAAGACAAGGATGTAACTTTGCCAAATAAGTTAATTAGCCCTTCTTCTTTTTCCTCTGTCCTAGCTTACAAAATTTGATCTGCCTTTTTTCCTGTATGCACTTCTCTACTCCAGATGCTGAAGTTGCTAGCAAGCAAAGGTACTGAGAAATTTCCCTTTCCTACTATATTCTAGCAAAGAAATAAAAGGTTTCACTGTCATTGCTAATCAAGATTATATGGAACTGATGGAACCATTAGAAGTGCAAGAAAGAGTTCCGGCTGCCAGGCAAGGCTGCACAGCTACTGTTTACCTCTGATTATGGAAACAGCTTATAAATAAAAATCAGTAACAACATACCTCATTTTAGTCAATAGTTTAAAACTTTTCTGCCTGTCTCCCTCTTCATTCAAGCAACTGAACTATCTATGTACCGTGGAAACAGATCTGGTTTATAGTTACTGAGGATACTTGGTTTTCATTTCAAACTGTTGTGCAGATATTGAGCAGCCAGAAAAGGAGAGCGCAAATTTTCAAGAGGCCCAAGCCTCTTTTACTGACAATCTGGGGGAAGGGTTTGAGATTCCTAAAAGACTTATACTCTCAAGGCTGACAACTGCAACAAAACAGAAAACCTCCTGAGAGGGAAAATGAACATAACACTCCCGTGTTTTGAGTTAATTAATTTTATACAGAACAGAAAGGTCACAGGACACATAACAACAAAGCAGCTGACCGAATTTCCTTATTTATTGAAGAACAGAAATAAATTTTGCTTAAAATTTTTAAAAACAACATTAAAACTTAGTTTATCTTTCCACTGAATAAAACGGAGAAAAAGACTGGCTTTCACATCATACATTTATTTAAAAAATAAAATGGATTGATAAAGTTACCACATTATTATGCATGCTAACAGGATTTCCCAAGCCCATGAGATACCATTTCTTGAGCAACAAGAAAATGACTTCCTCAACAATGTAAAGATAGGAAGTCTTTCAATCCAAATTCAAGATCTTTATCACTAGTTCCACCTCACAAGCTAGTGGGATGTATCTGTGCTACCAGCTGAGCTCCTTGGTAAAAAAGCTTGAGAAGACACTAAACAAGGATGTCACTAACAGATGATGATTTGTTAAAATTATAAAGCAACCATCTTCTGGCCTGCAAATATTCTACATTAGAAATCTCCACCACTGGGGACCTGCTCCCCAGGACAATTTTACTCTGAATCCAGGATAATTACAAACACATGGCATTTTTTCTTGCATGCTTTCTTGGGCCAAACCCTGTATGACAACATGTTACAGTTTACAGGATGGAACTTGAAATCGCCATTCTCACACAGTACAGTTAAGGAGTGTTACCAGTAACAAAGAATAAAAGTTATACAACATCGATTATTATAAATTATATTTGTTCTTAGCCACCCCAGTCTCCTTAATATGTCCAGATCCTTTCTTGCAGAAAACATGAGTTTCCTATATAACGTCAATTGCATCATTAATGATGATTAGAATGAGCTGTAGAGACTTTGATTCTGAAGACATGTATGTGCAGGTGAGATGCAATCTGATTGCAAACACTGACACAGTAGCGAATCAAATCAAAGAAAGAGAAGACCTGGGGGGGAAAAAAAGACTATGAGATTCTCAGGACCTGCTTAGGCCATCCGTAAGCTTCCTGAAAGCAAAGAGGAGTGGCTTCCGACTTTCTTCTCTTCAAATTCACCTTCAGTTCCATACAACTTAATAACTCAATTCCCTTTTTTTCCCTTTATACCAAGGAGCAAAAAACTCAGTAACTATTTTAGGCTCTGTGGACCACAGTCTTATCACAACTGCTCAACTCTGTAGCATAAAAGCAGCCATAAATAATACATAAGTGAATGGTCACGACTGTGTTCCAATAAAACTTTGTTCATAAAAACTGTCTATTGGCCCCCAGAGTGCAGTTGGCCAACTCCAGCTTTACAGTCAGAAATCTGGAATTTATGAGCCATGATGTAGGCAGGACTAATAAGAATAAGCAAAAAAAAAAAAAAAAAAAAAAAGAACTCAAAGATGAAGCCACAAGGAATTCTCAAAAAGTCCCATAAATGTGGTTTTCTGGTATTCCAAATCATTACAATTACATGACCTATCTTTCAGGACCGGCCCATTGAAACAAGGAAACAAGAAGCTTCCAAATCATGAAACAGAACACAGTACAAAACTTACCAGGGCAATCCACAGTACAATATATTCGTCAATAAAGCTGTTAAAATACTGGTCCAGAAACAAAAGTGCTGGACCTATGAATGCTGTGTCATGCAAATGCATTTCGCTTTTGGTCATGTGCGCCACCTACGAATAAAACAGAATCAGTGATGTAGGCATTTTCATATTAGAGCTACATAGTAAATCAGTATTGTTATCAAGTATCAAGTTTCAAGAATTTGTTAGCAATATTTGCTGAGTTTCTAAAACTAAAACACAAAGTGGGTAGATCTATACACCAAAGGGATACACCATGTCCACTAAGGCCCTCTAAGCATGCTTTTCACAAAGAGCCTTTACCTGACTGTACAGATTGAGATTGAAGAATGGAGACGAACTAACCAAATTAAACTGTGGACAGAAAGAAGTACAGAGGTTCAAGGGGCTTCCGGTAATCCCAAATGGTTAAGACTAAAAACAGCTCCCACACTGATGTCAAGAGATTTTGACTAGAGAAGAGCAAACTCTAGAACTGCTTAGGGAGCTACGGGATGAAAACTACGGGCTTAAAACCAATATAAGACAAAAGTTAAAAACAAAATAAACAAAAACTTTGGAGCTTACCACAAGCTTGTTGGTGATTTTGGCAGATACAAAACCAAATGTCAATATATAAAGACAGGGATGCTTTTCAAAAAGCTGAACTGCTGATTTCTTGTAGATCATTGCAGCTAATGTAATTACTGATCCAATATGGAGAAAAGGAGAAAGGACACTTGTCCCCTGCACAGAGTAAAGAGAAGTGAGGAGTTAGTCGTGTTCTATATGGATCTGCTTGTTGTAAGACAGATCAGCTCGAACTTCTAAGAACCTCACGGTGTCTGACAGCCAGCAGATTCTATAACTGAATACCAGAACAGCTACTGGAAAGCAGCAGCATGGACTGGTTAGGCACAGACTGAGGATTTTACTTAAGAGGCCAGACTTACTTTACAAAGCAGGGCACCCTGAAAAAAAATGTGCATAGAAGTGTTTGGGTGTGTGTGCATGCACAAAAACATGCAATTATAGGCATATAAATGTATATATGTGTAAATAAAACTGAGAAGTTTTGGCTACTACTTTTTTTTCTTTAAGACTAAGTGGAAACTCTCAATTAACAAGTGATTTTAATCAATTCAAATGAAAAACAAAGCAACTACAAAACTAAGTCCTAAGCACCATCATTAGAAATCTTAAGATATACTCACTGCTATTGTTGATCCATTTTTGCCAACACCACCTGTGAAGATTACACGGAAGTAGTTTGTACAGGAAAATATGGTCCCTGCTACAGTGCAAAGCGCGGGAAAAATTTTCATTTGAATATTCAGCACTGGAATCTTTAATGGGTAGAGAGAGAGAACAATTACTACATATACAAATTAAAATAAGAAAACA